GAGCCTTTCTTGCTGCAGGAGCTCGTGCTGTTGTAGCGTCATTATGGGCCATTGACGACAGAGCAACAAAATTCTTCATGCTGAAATTNAACCTAGATAACAAAGAAACTGTCCGAGTAAGTACGCAAGGAAATTTTGGATTTGTATCTAGAAGCAACAGATGTGTTGCAGATGCCTGTATTCTTCATATATTCAAAAGACACTATCAAATTTAATTCAGATAGTCTTTGAATGTTGATGTATAAAGGAGTGCAAGTTAATGCAAGAATATTAACTTGATTTTAGAGGATGTCAAAAAACTGTTATCCCTCCTTTGACGGCACAGAAAACACAAGATTTGGTTGAGGATAGCTGTTGTAGAGGAATTGAGAAGGTCTAGTAAAGACGAAACTCAGTTTTCCTCAACCAAGTCTTTTGTGTTCTGTGCGTCAAAGGAGGGATATAAGTATTTTAACATCCTCTAAAATGAAGTTTATTGAAACTCCTTTAAAATCCAAATACAACAAATATCAAGAAATATGAACTTGGGCTCTCGATAAGCAAGGGCCAACACCTTCGTACAATCATTTTAAAACGGCGAATTTGGAGGATCGTCTTCTTTGCTTGCTTCAACCTTTGAGACTGAACGGTAAGACGAATCAAATTATAATTGACTTTGCAAATAGAATTCTAATGTGAACGATTTATGAATACAGCTTTCTTTTTCTTTAAAACTAATTATTTTTAACTTTGATTCTTGACAACCAGGAGCGAGCACCTGCACTTCAAAGACAAGTCTAACCACATTGATACGCCTGGCCGAATGGAAGCCGTGTCTTCGATTTCTAAAGGCCCGTTTACACTTGCAATTTTTGCAGCGCGATTGTCGCGCGACAATCGCCACTTTGCTCTCGCGCACCTCAAATCGTACGTGTAAACAGCCCTGCGATTATTGTCGCGGCGATGCCGCTAAATTTCAAGAATGTTCGAAACTATAGGCGATTGCGCGCGACAATCGCGCTGCAAAATTTGCAAGTGTAAACGGGCCTTAAAGCCCCGTCTACACGAGCAATTTTTATGTGACAACTATATGTGACAATTTTTTTTCCGTGTGGGCAGGCAGCAAATAATTGTTGAAGACTCGCGCCAACTATGATTTTGCACAGCGGAGAAGTCAATAAATAAAACAAATTTAAATACTATAGCTTCGTAAGAGTACTAGAGATAATAAAACTTTAACAAATACGATATATTTTTAATCTTAACATGTTTCAGCATTACATTATGCCATTCTCAGAAGAATGGGGATGAGAATGAGCAATTAAAAATTGTCACATAAAAATTGTCCGTGTAGATGAGGCTTAATTCAGAGGTCTGAAGTTCAAGACTCAGAGGAGCTGACATTTCTTTAATTAGATTTCTTTCCTTGTCAAAAAATTAATAAATTCAACCAAATATAGATCAGGGAACCCGGTAACTGTAACTTAATGAGTAAATTAATAGGGAACAATGAGAATAAATTATAATTCTGAACACAAGTAACGAAGGCTCAAGTTTACAGGAAAGTGAGTGAGTGAGTGAGTGAGTGAGTGAGTGAGTGAGTGATTGAGTGAGTGACAGTCTCGTCCCACTCCAATAACTCTTCGATTGCTTCGCAATCTTCGAGTTAAAAATGGTCAGATCTTACTGTCTCCTTCTACTCCTCCGATGAATTCGTGTCCAGCGGATGACAAGGGCAACATCTTGACCGTGAAGGAAGCACAGGAGAGCGGAATTCGTGCTCAACTGGTTGTGCTRAGCTGYTGTCAYAGCGGTAAAGGWSACATYAGGTCTGAGGGAGTGGTTGGRATKGCTCGAGCCTTTCTTGCTGCAGGAGCTCGTGCTGTTGTAGCGTCATTRTGGGCCATTGACGACARAGCAACAAARKTCTTYATGCTSAAATTSTAYTCKCATCTCAAGAATGGAGAGAGTGCAAGTTTGAGTCTTCAGCAGGCAATGAAGGAGATGAGAGAAATAGAGAGATACAAGGAACCAAAATACTGGGCGGCCTTCTTTCTAATTGGAGACGATGTAACCATCACAGTGTAATAGAATTGTTGGATGAACATTTTTAGAACATTGATAAGTTTAGTTTTGTAGTTTTCATAGATAAATGTGACCTGACTGACAAAGTGCAAATACTAAAATTAGAGTGATCGCTCTTAAACCGTCCAACTGTACAAACTAAATAGTGCTAAAGATATGAATATAGTGCTATTTAGTTGTATTTAGTAAATCGTGCATGTGGTACGAAAATTAAATTGAATTGATACAAATGAAGAATTCAATAACATCTTGCTTCCAGTCCACTTTTAGTACAAATTAGTACTACTTAGATTTAATTGTACAGTTGCACGGTCTATTTAAGTGCGATCTCTCTAGCATTTTGGCGAATGGTTAGTACTTTTCAATGGTTAGCGATTGTATATCATAAGTGACTCTCAAGTGATCATACAGCTGTCATGTAATGTATAGATTTGATAGTATGGACACTGTGGAAAAACTCTAAATCAACACAATTAATACCGGCAGTGAACAATAACCAAATGTTATAAATTCAAAAACATGTCGTTACAGCGGAAATCGTTGCATCGCGACCTCTTTGTTTTGAAGTTTGTCTGGATTTTGTTCTTTCTTTCAATCTGAGGGGCGGAGCTTTTCGAAAACTCGTTCAATCATTGGCTGATTAGTATCAAGCTCAGCCCCCAAGTCGCAGAAAAACCTAAATCGCAAGTATTTCCTTTGAACATCCAAGTCTCGATGCAACGGTTTCTGCCGTAAACGTTTTAACTTTGCATATGCTTAGTTTCTGAGAAAATGCATATTCGAAATTGCTTGATGAAACGTGAACTGTTATATAACAAATGCGCAATTGTGGAACTTCAGTTAAGCCTGGTTGACAGGCCTCTCTTTCTTGATTAATAATGTGCACACCTCTGAGTTCAAATGCTGAGCTGGTATATAAACTCTGAAAGYAGATTGTTAGYATTYTTAAAATRATTGGTATATAACAATCGATGTGATTGGCCAAAAAGTGTGCTTTGATGAGAGTAATTAGCATTTTTAGTAGGTAAAACAAGCAATTAAATTAATTTGATTATTTCTTGAAGCCGTACAAAATAGATATTTGTGTACTCACTTTATTTTCTGTTTAATTTTCAAACTTCATGTATAATTTTCATCAATTAAAACTGGTGTGCCAAATTCATGGTCGAGGATTATAAGTTAAGAGCGATCCATTAGACTTCTAAGGGTTGATAAAAGACTTCTATGATGGAACTTCATTTTCAATGAACCACATAGAATTTAAAATAAGAAATAAAGTTAAGCTCAAAATTCAGAATTTTGATCATTTATAACTTTAACTGCCAATTGTACCCAAATGAAGAAATAATTAAACCATTAGTTTGTTGGTCCAGAAAACCCACGCACTGGTTTTCTTTATACTAAATCCTTTAAATTTGAGAAGGGCAACGTTTTTCCAACTATTAAACAAGGTTGGCGTATACTGAAGTCGTAGAATATGTTTACTAGCACATAAACGTAACAAATGAGGAAGCTTGTGGTGCTGGCTGGTTGGATGATGTGGAATCTATTATTTTAGAATTGTAATTTGGCTATATTTATAGCCTAAATCGTTCTAAATGTACAATTAAAAAGTCGAAAATTATTTCCTTAAAAAACGGTTTTCTAAAGAAAACTCCCTATATATATGGCTTGCAGGATTTTTTTTTTTACTCAGAGTTTCTGTAGAACTTATCTTGCAAGAATTTTTTTTCATGATTTTGGGGATGCAGGAAATATTTTTTTTTCAAAATCTTCCTCGCACATCCCCCTAACGAAAATCCTAGATCAGCCTGGAAGTAAAATGAATGAGATGTTGAAAATGATTACCCTAACCGCAAGACATTAGAACAAGACGTGAAGTCGCTCAAGCGGGCGTCGAGTATTTTGAGCGGCCAAGCAATGTTGAATTGAAAGAAAGTCCACAGGAGCAGAAGACTCAGACGAAAAAGAGTCATTGATGTTTCAACCCAAACGGACATCGAACAGATGGAAGTCACCTTCAGGTCAGCGAAGGCTGCTCAAAAAGGAAATCCATAAAGTGATGTTCATCCAATTCGAAGCCTCAGCTCAATTCCAGCCAAAGACTATGAGTGAATCATGTATCTCCAGGTGGGAAAAATTCATGTTTTCGAGGTTTTATCATTGTGGATGAAGCGTACAACAACTTTGAGAGGTTGAATATTTTTAGTATTCATTTCCATGAGACCTATATAACATTAGTTTTTTATTACTGTTGATTAATATGCTAATTCCAAGACTTCGTCTTTCTCAATTGTCTGATAACGTTTAATCTATAAAGAAAAAATATCAAAAAATAATAAAAATTACTATGCAATTCGATAATTATCCAAACGGCTCTTGTACTATATTATCATATATGGGTATTTACATTTATATCACTTGTTTCATGCGGTATAAATGCCATGCAAGATAAGTGGGTTACTCCAATCGACTCATACAATAATAATGATTTATTAAACAAATATAGAGATGTCAGATATTGAGTGTCCGAGCACTGATAAAAGCCATAAACGTTGCAGGTGCAGTCGGTTGAAAATGCGATAAAGGACAGTTGCTTCATATCAGCTGCTTAAYCATCAATCCTATTACTCCTGGGTGGTATGTAGGGCCGCTACTAAGAATTTCCACCACTCACTATCCTTAATTTGGTAGATGTTGCAGCTCCTCCATGAGACTTTTCAAGTTCTTTTGTCTTTTTAAATAGTCCTTCTCCATGTCTCTTTGGGTCTCCCTCTTCGTATTTTCCCACTTTCAGGGGTCCATGTTATTGAAACTCTGGTGATGTCATTTAGGTGTTTTCTTGAAGCATACCCTAACCACTTCTACCTGCGCCTCTTCACTCTTGTCAGTATGTTGTTCAATAACAATAACTGCTTATAATTCCTCATAATTCCTTATGTTGCAGTATTGTTAGTTGGTTGTTCTTGTCTTGAGATCAGGTTCTTGGCAGCCCTTCTAAAGTCGCTGAGAAGGACCAAGTACACCAAAGGACTCAAACAGGAATTCATGATTTTGGGGATATGAAGTAGAAATCCCAGTAGATCCTTGCAACTTTTATCTAATTCTCGTAATACATTTCGGTTGAGGCCTTTTATTAGATCTTCAAAAAAGTCAGGCAGATAACATATCGAATACAATAACAGCRAACACAGAACCACTTTCACACCAAGGATGATCCGCCTCGATCGACGCCTTTTCTGCTCATCAGAGAGATTATAATGAACTGGATGGACTTTCAGCATCCTCAAAGACGTCACAACACTGAGAGTAAGGACCGAGAAGTACAAGAACAATGTGCAGAATGATCTCACCAGAAAAAAGACATTGTAAATATTAGAGTTCTTGTCAACTTCACAAGTGAAGGGTTGACCTGAAGTTGGCTTGTAAGCTTGCATGAAGACGATTCTGTAGCACGACAGTGCTAATGCAACCAGCAAAGTTACTGCAGTCAAAAAGCGGTTTGAGTAGGCTGGTGCATCTATGGCAAGTCTTGTAGCTCGATACCTTTCAACGCTGATTATAAACAATGTTATCAAAGTCACAAGTTCAGATATGTATTCCACACCAGTATGTGTTTGGCAAAAAAAGTTTGCTAGCGTCTGCACATCCGGGAAACCGATTTGCAAAGATGAAAAGCATTGGTTTTTATGAATAACAGGATGGCTTTTCGCTGTGACATTTCGACAACAAAAAAATGATGATGCTATATTGAAATTACTGCAAAAATATATGGGGAAAAGCAACAATCTGTGTGAATATTTTTTTGCAAAGACGTTTCACTGAAACCAATACCATATCAGTAGAACTCGATKGAGRGAGATTTAAAAACACAGAGAATCAACAAAATTACAGCCTTTGAATGACTTTGAAATTGATGAAACTTGTGTTTGAAATAAGTATGGTGATAATATTTTTGAACCAGCAGATAATTAAGGCGAGTTTGCCATTGGAAGAAGGCTCATCGTTGGTTATAGTTTTACAGGCGAAAAACATTACTGAGTAGTAATTAACTTTTTTGATGTTTTGGCTCATTACTCAACCACCCTCCCTAAGTATTGCGCAGTTCTAATAATATTGTGTGGACTTGAATGATAGTATTTTTTAAATGATTTAATACAATCTTATCAAGATATTGATGATAATAGTCAAGATTACAATTAGATCAAAGGGATTGTTTAGTGTATATGAATGCCAGGATGAATGCTGATAATTAATGACAGTAAATCAAATGATAACGGTTGACGATTGTGCGAAGGGAAAACATCACTATCTATCAGATGATTAATCCCATGTAATGCAAACCCTTTGTAAAACCAGCCCTATTTTAAAATTTATTTCTGGCTAATATTCGATGGTGTATTTTTGAATATATTTTTTTCAAAAAAATAATAAAAAATATTATAAACCGAATCCAGTGTTCTCCCTGTATAAGAAAGAATCCAACCCCACTCCCCTGGAGTAAACATTGTCAGAACACAGCCTGAGGAAATAACTCATGCTTGACTACATTCAATCTTGAAGTAGTTTCTATTGTAAACAAGGCTACTTGTTAGTTTGCGGAGAACCCTCGTCGTAAAAACTTACAGTTTCTTCAAAGACCTTCAAAACACAAACGTTTTCATTCTTGATTAGACAAAGTACTAGGCAAATTGGAAACATCTTCCTTCWTTTTTTGGCTGCCTTTGGGCCGACTTTAATTCCATATAATTTTCTTTCTAAAACATGTACACGTAGTGCTATTGACTGTCGATGTAGCCCACTGTGACCAAAATGCATACCTAGAATTCTATTCAAGTTCCAACACAGTAAAAAAACTCTCAAAAATATCTTGATTTGTCTCTACAAAAGTATTTTCTACAATGTACACAGAAAAAATAAATAACTCGGAAGAGAACGATCATATTAGAAAGTATGCTTGATATTTCATGCCTTCGTCGCCTTCGTAGACTTTCATGTCGTTCTGTGTTGACGTCATGGTTTATTGAATCGACCAATCGGAATGATCGGGAGTATCAATTCTGTTGGTTTTGAGTTTGAGAATTCAAACTAAGCCATACTCTTCAATTTCTTCAGCTTAACTAAGAAATCCTTATTTTAGGGAATCCATTTGATGCAATTCATGTACTCTAATAGTCACTCTGATTCTGACTGAACGATAAGGTAAGAAATAACATCGATTCGTCGTTTTCAATCACTTGATTATTCAGGCAAAATGACGTTGTCTCGACTTCCAAAAGATTTATTCATGACTAAATCGTACTGAAATATAACATTCATATCCTTTCAGAGCATTCAAAACCTCATATAATTTGTGAGGTTTAGCTGAGAGTTGTTTCAGTGTGTAGTTAATGAATTATTTGCGATTGAATATGGGTGATATTTGGTAAACAATGTAGGATGCGGATGCTACTGCAACGGTCTAAAGGAATCAAATGTTTTCAATAATTTTTTTAGATTATATTAACNACGACTCACGACTAATTTTTTCGATTCACAATCAACTAGATTACTTTCAGATATTTTTGAAATGAAAACAACGTTTTCAACCCCACTCCCCTGGAGTAAATATTGTCATAACACAGTCTGAGGAGATAACTCACGCTTGACTACATTCAATCATAGTTCACGTTAATTCAATTGAATTTGAATTTTGATTTTCAGTTTCTTCAAAGACCTTCAAAACAAACGTTTTCATTCTTGATTAGACAAAGTAGTAGCCAAATTGGAAACATCTTCCTTCTTTTTTGGCTGCCTTGGGGCTGACTTTAATTCCATATAATTTTCTTTCTAAAACATGTACACGTAATGCTATTGACTGTCGATGTAGCCCACTGTGACCAAAATGCAAATTACTCACAGAATTCTATTCAAGTTCCAACACAGTAAAAAAAACTCTCAAAAATATCTTGATTTGTCTCTACAAATGTATTTTCTACAATATACACAGAAAAAATAAACGACTCGGAGAGAACGATCATATTAAAAAGTATGCTTGATATTTCATGCCTTCGTCGCCTTCGTCGTTCTGTGTTGACGTCATGGTTTATTGCAGCTTCACATCGTAGATGCGAAGCAGCAATGTCATCGAGTTGAGTCATGATAGTARGAGTCATTTTCGGTAAAATCGAAGGTCATTCGGGCGAAAATCGGAGCTCATTTACGCGCGAATAATATAGCATCTAGGAAATGGAATTTGCATTAAAGGCTATAAAAACTGATAAAAGTCAATATTTGTATTGTTTTTGCGTGTTTTTATTATCATTTTCGCCTTTTTGGGATTATTCTACGATCCTCCGACCGGTAGCGATCTTACATCGTTTCACGTGATGGCTCCGATTTGTTATTGATTGATGTTATACTTTTCCATGTGCTTTCCTTCGCTTGTTGTTCAACTTCAACTCAAGGTGAGTGATATATCTATTTCATACAATGTTTTTATCCCTTTTTACATCAAGAATCAGGCACAGGTTTCTACGCGTGTATGAAAAATTGTTTGCTGAAGACATTTTTAGGATTTACGACGATTCATCAAAACAAAAGATCTTTGATCTTCATGTTTATTTGATGTTTCATGTAACCTCTAAAAAACTGTTTACAAATATTGCTGAATTAAATGCAAACCATTATATTAATTACATAACAGTGAAGCTGCATGCAGTCATTGACTGCGTATTTTTAAATCAACCAATCGGAATGAGTATCACTTCTCTTGTATTTCAAACTAAGCCGTATATACTCTTCAATTTCTTCAGCTTAACTAAGAAATTCTTATTTTAGGGTATTCATTTGATACAATTCATCTACTCTAATAGTCTCTCTGATTTTGACTGAACGATAAGGTAAGAAATAACATCAATTCGTCGTTTTCAGATTTTCAATCACTTGWTAATTCAGGCAAAATGACGTTGTCTCGACTTCCAAAAGATTTATTCATAATCKTACTAGTGAAATATAACATTCATATCCTTTCAGAGCATTCAAAACTTCGTATATAATTTGTGAGGTTTATAGCTGAGAGTTGTTTGAGCGTGTAATATATAGTTACTGAATTATTTGCGATTGAATATGGGTGATATTTGGTAAACAATGCAGGATGCGGATGCTAGTACTGCAACRGTCTGAGAAGTAAGGAATATCAAATATTTTCACGAATTTTTTTTAGATTATAATATAAAAATTAGGTAACACCTAATAGCGGAGCTCCAATAGCAATATAGAAGCTGAAAATGATTATCTAGTACTGCTATTTCAAAGGTAGATGCTCTGTTCTAAGGAATGTGAGCTACAACAGTTTTGTTGACATGCGAACAAATATTATAAAGAGTATGTTTATGACAATCTAGTTCGTACTAATATTGACTTCGGTAGATTTTGTTGGATGAAGTTTAAAATTATAATCTATAAAGGTCAATTGATTAAAAGTAAACTGAAAGCTTCTCGGCAAAAAGTAGTCTACATAAGCTTACAATAATCAACATTGTTTCAATAATCGATGNTTTTTAATCTCTCTGAATCTAACTGCTAGCATGGTCTTGGTTTCGAAATGTCCACACTTTTAGTCGACAAAAGAACTTCGCATAGATCCCTGCTTTTTCCCATATTGGTCCATATTATTAAAGTATTTCCAGTCTAAGTATCATCTCTTTCTTGTTTTCGAAATATCAAAGTAAAACCGTTTTTTTCTAATATCACTTTTAAGATGGGCCTAAATTGCTTTTCATCTCCGCAAATCGATTTCCCGGATGTGCAGACGCGTCGAAGTTATGACAAAATTGGCKGGAATATTTCTGTGCTGTTATTTCGCTCTTCAGTGGATTTTTTCCTTGTGATAATTGTTCTAATATTATCAATATGTAATATAAATGTTTAAGGAAAAAAAATCGATTTTTAAACAAATACTTGGCGCTTTGTTTCCATTTCGAGCGGAGTATGGGTTTCCTGTGGTGGTACACGGAATCCAGGAAGGAAGGACGGACGGAAGGAAACGTGAGTACGCAAGGGAACCCTGTGTCGGTCCATGGAAAATCGACTCGATGGTATACCGTTTATTCTTAGCTATGGTGCTCCGCTCGCGCGGGAGCTCCGCTATTACCAACTTTTATCATATAACTATCTATGAAATACCTGTTTCTCCATGTAAAGTTGATAGTTTCAGTAGTGAAAAATAACACATTCGCGGTTTCTCTTATATAGTGTAAGTAACACTATAACAACACTCGGAGATAAAATCCGTATTTCCGCGCTCCCATGTAATATCCTCTCTGTAATGAGTACCAGGCCAAATGGTCCCGATATCGATTCTTTTCATTCGACTTGTTCCTTGGATACGTGACTGCCATTAAGTGACACAGCTCAAGCCTAAATATCTCGGGAACTAATAAAGAAAATATCTTGA